CTCAATAATCTCCACAACCCCTATACAAATATCACATTGTGTTTATGTACACGTTGAATAATGTAGACCGTTAGGAATTGGCTATGAGTTTTAAATAATCGCCTTTACATGAGTTTGTGCACCAAATACAAATTAGAAAACGTATACAACTTGATTTGCTTATTTATGAACTATAGTAGTGCTGTATGTTGCTTTTGTTGAAAGATATAAGTAGTATATTGCAGTAATCAAAAGTGGAATGCCTAACAAATGAAGATTGTAATGAAAACATTCGAAATAACAACATAATTAAAAGAATATTGGAGTATGTGAAGAAACAACGAAAAGATGCTGTGCATATGATATATTTAATGTATCATTTGCATAATGTACTAACCCCCTGTATGATTTTGCACAAAATAATGAATTGGTTTCCCCTACTTGAGTTCTTGTTCAATACACATTTATCAAAATATATAGTCGACAGTGGAATAAGGACAGTAATGACAACGCCCATAAATCATTGTTAAAAACTAATAGACTATTGCATTTATAATGAAAGATTTATTAATTCAAACACTAGTAAATCTTATATTTTCTACAAATTTAGGTTAATACATATGACATATCGTAAACACAGTTACGGAAATAATGATTCAGTATTTACATTTATGAACAAATAGGTTAATACACAGTTGGAGATTTTAGGGAAATAGTAGTCTATCGTTGAAAACAGTTAAAAATATCTCATGTATTATGGTTAGAAATACAGCTATATTTCGTAGGCTACATCAAAGACTGTTTTCATTCAGGCAATCATTGAAAACTAAGAAGTAATGAAAAGCTATTTTATTATAGCACTATAGAACTCTTAAATATTTTGTATCCACAATCACAGTGAAGATTGAAATCATGATGTTCGGATTTTGCATTGAACACTTAACCGTTCAACCGCTGAGCTAGAAACCATTAGTCTATAACCTCATGATGGATGAGTACTTCTGAGAAGTTGTATAATAGGTTTTATAGTTTCTTAGAGTTTTCTAGCCAAGATCAATCTTTAATTTAAAATTTTCCAATATCCACAAATCCTCTATACTAATTATAAAGTTAAAGTTGACGAGGCGTTTGCAAAAAAAAACTGGTCACATTGTTTCATAGTTACAATGGAATGTGAAAATCTATTTTCACTATTAATATGTAGCTGCTATTATTAGTAGTCACTGATATTAATTAATATGTATAAAAAAATTGCGAACTGTCATCTGATATGACCGCCAATTTTTATAATTATTTATCACTATGTAGTCCTTCACGTACACACACACACACATACAAGCACCGAACATGAGTTTGAAATTAGAGAAGGGTATGTAAGCCGAAAGTGTATGAATCAACCTTGCTATTAAATCTTATTGAAAATTAAAAGTGAATCTAATGATAACAAATCCTTTTTCTTTCTTTTTTTACACAAAGCTTCTCTGACATAAATGCCACCCACTTGTTTTTCTACTTTATAGCTGTCAGCATCTGAAGAGATTCGAAGAAATGGAAATGAATTCATGAGTTATTCTGGTACGATAGTTGTTGTTGTTGTTGTTATTCTGATTCAATTTTATATGTTGGTGGGGGCAGGTGAATATACCAAATTATTAACAGTAAAAACAGTTATTTGTGTTAAAGAAAGTAAAAACTAAGATTCATTTTATTCCATTAGGTTCTCATCACCTACTTATAACCTACAATATTTAGAATTCGTTGTTCTTTAAACACCCTTTCATATTCATTAATTTCTCTTTTGGTCCGATTCAAAGAATCAATCCCGAAAAGTCTAAGATCAAATGGGACAAAAGCAATCAGCAATGAGTACATTTTGAGATGATGAAGAAGAGGTGTAGTTAAGGAGGCTGGTTTTAGTGGAGTAGTATTCTTTGATTAAGATGATTAGATTATAAAGCTTTTATTGTTTTTCTAGAGAAAAACTTATATTTGAAGTTTATACTGGTTCTGTTGAAGCTGAAGTAAAGAAAGCGATGGAATCTTATTTGATAATGTTAGAATAATGTGGTGAGGAAATATCTAATTATTTAGAGTATCAGGGACCTGTGACATTTGCTTCTTCTTCTTCAAGTGACAATGAATCAAATTTTATGATATTGTATAACTAGGTCTATTCACTAAATTACGATTTCACTAATATCAAGCACTATTCAGTTTAATTTACACAAACCGAACAGGTATTTAGTTAAAATCACTTCAAAAACCAGTGTATTCAAATATTCATTTTGAAGGACAATTGAATCCTCATCTACCATCTTATCATTCTTATTTGAGTATCACGAGTTTACAGTCTCCAGTAGCACGTACCAGTATTATGCAAGTACAACAGTGCTGATGAAAATAGCCAAAAACACCGTATTTTAAAAATGAAATTACCTCCACAATTAAAAAAAATACACCTCAAACAAAAAACTATTTATTCATCTAAAGATAAAACAAACTAATCATTGTTACTACTCAGTTTAAAACGCCATTCATTCACTGATAACGACGTCTAGATTTTAATGAAAAGGTGTTATATCCAGAGTCTAATTATCTTGAGAATAAACCAGTTCCTCAAAAGATTAGAATTTGGGAGAACTCAAAGATTGGATACAACTGCACCATTTCAAACGACTTTGAGCCATGTCATTCAAGGTCTCTAACCATCGGTTGCTATCATCTCGCGGATCTCAACCAGATAGTCTACACCTACCAACATGGCTCAGTTCACTTGTCACTAACTTCATGGATTTGTGCCATGTTTTATTCTGGCCGCCCCTAACTTTCTTTCAACCTACTCTTACACCATAAAATATCACACGTCGAGGCAGTCGGTGATTGGGTATACGTAACACATGTTCCAGCCATTTCAACTGATGAAGTTTCACTACTTCATCAATTGATTTGCCATCCTAACCTAGTGATCGTCTCTTAACAACTGTTCCAGGATATACGAGCAATGCTTCAAAGACACCTATGATGGAATACTAGTAATTTACAAATATCCTCTACCCTTACCGGCCATATTTCACTGCCGTAAAGTAGGACGGGATGAACTGCTGCTCAGTAAACCCATCCTTTGGCTGGTAGACGAATATCTCGCCTACGCCATAAATGACGCTAGTTGGAAAGTGCTAGTCGAGCCTTTTATATCCGTGCTGAGATTTTCTCACATACCAGACTACACGGGCTGATGGGATTCTCAAGATAAGTGAAGATATTAGTGACATAACATGATATGACGAACAAGAATTAGGCTTTATTCAACCTGCTATTTTACCAACCCATAAAATTCCACTCCATAAAAATGACTTAAAAGAGCATAAATATTTGTTAAAATTTCTATCATGTATTGAATGATGAGTTGAAGTCATTATTCTTTCAGTCCATGTGATCACTGGTTAAAATATTTCTCAATAGACAAGAAGATATACATCATGCACATATTATGAAGTCAGACCTAATAATCATTTAAACAGAATGTTGCTATAGCAACTACCATTTTTACACGTTCATATGATTTATCCTTACTTTTAGACAAATGAATTATTATATTCGTCCTAGTCATTTTGTCATTCAAATGTGACCTTGAGGATGTATGTATAATAGTAAGTATGTGTCTATATGATAGCTTGTATTTTTCATGCTTATAAACGTTGGATCACGGTTTACTTCAATGGCGTTGGTACGTTTACCATTTTTGCTTCGCTTCCCCTCTTGCTGTCTGTCTGAATAAATGAATGTCTGAGATAAGTTCATCCAACCTAATATATATTTGACTTTTTATTACCACCTAGTTGGGTTTAGCCAAAGTTAAACATACGAAATCAAATACAATTTAAATTCATGGCCCATTTATGGTTTGTTCATAAATTTGATCATTACTGAAGTTAGAACGTTGGCCTAGATATAAGAGATGAAAGGTTAAGTTTACTCGACATTACAGTGATTACAAGTAATCATACAACAGAGAGAATGAAGAATCCCAAAGTAATGAATTACAGTTTCTTAATGTTCGACTGAGTTTACGGTACATACAATAAATCAACCTCCTCAATTCATGTATTAAACCACCGCACGAGAACCACTGATGTTTTTATTTACATGAAGTAAACCTTTCTAGTGGACCAAGGGTCCTGAGTTCTAGTCACATATGCAATATTGTAAATGCTTACTGCTAAAGAGTCCTATATTATGACGAAACGGACATCTAATGCTTCCAGGTTTTTAATGGTGAACTAGTTTAGATCAACTCGCGAATTCAACTGTGAAACTACTATAATCTTCACAAATCCACATATTGATATTAGAGTAAGTCTATTAACAATTTAATTGAAAACAATTTTGTTCACTTATATCTGTATTGTTCTAATAGTTGAAACAATCAGTCTGCCAGTCAGTAACAACGGAGAACTTCGTACGTACGTACGTACATCAGTTCGAGTTGCCATACCACATTAGCACAGATATACAATTGTGGATTCAAATCCCGTAGTGGTAGAGGCGGTAAGAGTATAAGCATTAATCGGAAGCATTAGGGTCTGAAGATGTTATTCAAAGAGTATAATCCAATGACATAAATTTGGGAAGAAAATAAAGGACATGAAGAATTCAGAAGATTAGAATTTGGGAGAACTCAAAGAGTGGATACAACTGCACCATTTCAAACGATTTCGAGCCATGTCATTCAAGGTCTCTAACCATCGGTTGATATCGTCTCGCGTATCTCAACCAGATAGTCTACACCTACCAACATGGCTCAGTTTACTTGTCACTAACTTCATGGATTTGTGCCATGTTTTATTCTGGCCGCCTTTAGCTTTCTTCCAACCTACTCCTACACCATAAAACATCACACGTCGAGGCAGTCGGTGATTGGGTATACGTAACACATGTTCCAGCCAGTAGTCGAATCTCAGATCACACATAGATTTTAACCATAATTATTCATAAAATCATATGTAATCACTTATACTTACTAGGAGATTGTGAAGAATATGAATTATTCGTATAACTTGATCGTTCTCCAAGATATAAATTCATATCAGAATTCATTTGATGATCAGGTAATTGTTTTAATGAATTCTCTATAGTCGAATTATGATATTCTTTAGAATGATTTAAATTGGAATGAAAAAATTGTTGTTGTTTATAATAAGGGCTAATCATTTGTCCTATAGGTAATGAATATTTTTGTAAATGATTAATAGTTGCTAATGAATTTTGTAATGAATTCATTGGTTGATGTGATGTACTAGAATAATGTAATGATCCATTATTTTTTATTTGACTATTTTGAAACATATCTGGATCATACATTTTAGTATGACGTTGACTTAAATATAAATGACGTAGTCGAATACACCAAAATATAATAACACCTAGAAGTAAAGAGAAAAGAAAATAGAGAAATAGAAATAGAACTACTTAATGTGTAATAAATTCCTTATATAAAAATAATCTCAATGGTTAAGATCATGAGTTAGTTGAAGCTAGACCATCATGGAAAACCTGGAAGCACTGGAGACCCACAATAGGACGAAACGGCCGTCCGATAAGTACTCGTTTTTTTTAAACTCTCAAGATGTTACTCAATGAGCTACTGGGTTTGAGTATCAAAGTGAATATCAACACGGGGAATAAACGGCTACATCCGAATGACAGATCCTAGCCAGGACAAAACGACGTCTACTCCGGAATTTCGTCTAACCATACTCCACCTTTACTAAATAACTTATAACAAAATGGCTATATTCTGACAATCTATAGAGAATTCATACATGCTAAAACAAACTAATCAAAATCTAATCTTAAATATCAACAGTGGGATAACTGAAACAAACCGTTACTCATAATCACAAGCTTTTTAAGCAAGGATGGATAGTGGCTAGTAGTGGAATCCAGGACGCGCGTTTCATCCTATTTGGGACTCGTCATCTGGAAGTATCTACATCGCGGAGTTGATGTTCACTCTGAGACTCGAACCCAGTACCGTTCGGTTTAAACGCCATCGCGTTATCCACTCAGCTACTGAATCCTGATAGTCACCTGCTTGTGCAGGTGATACCCAATTATACTCGAAGTTAATCAATGTTCTAGAAGAATGTTTTGTAAAATTAAGTCATATCTTGACAGCAAGTACAATTAAATACAGGTAGTTCAACTAAAACTGTGTACATGTTAAGTAATATTGAAGTAGGAAAATTCGATTAACCAAAGTGAATCACAATAACAGATGGATAAAAGTTGTTTTTAATTTTTGTAAATCTAATTATAGTTATTTTGTCATATAGTAAAAAGTAGTCCATTTAGGGTTAATGTTCTACCATACTTGAAATTAATCACTTTCCCACTAATAAGATTCAACAGTTGTCGTTTTATATTATAAACTGATTGATATTAGAAATGTGAACTGTTGGATGCAAAAAATTATCAATTTAAGTCATTATAATTGTCTCAGTAACTAATATTCAAGTGTTTGACTTGGTTTACTGTTATAAGTGCTCTTCACTAACGAATTTCATAGCTATCTAATAATTCATAGGTTTTCTTGATTATCAAGCTAATTTTATTTTATGTAGAAACTGTTTCTTAAATTGTTCTAGTCTTTATAAATCTTTTAAACGAAATAATAGAAACTCATTTTTCATGTGGGCGAACTTTATATCACTAGAAAGTTGTATTCGTTATTCTGAATGTAAGTAACTAATATTTGTATTCATTGAAACTAACTTCAAAAGGTATATACTATATGTATATATGAACTTCGAATCGGTTACAAGAATGATGATTTAATTTTCTAGGTTGAGTGACTTTATATCATGCTATCCAATATGTTTATGATTTCGGAAGGGTAATATTTGTTAGCTTAACGTTACAGAGCACTTCAATATCGAGAAGATTTAATATGGAAATTTATAAATTTCTCTTTTATTTTCCTGAAGCTTGTAGAAATTTAATGGTTGAATTCATGAGTTAATTGAAGCTAGACCATCATAAAAAACCTGGAAGCACTGTAAAGCCGTTTCGTCCCAATGTAAGACTCGTCAGCAGTGCTCATCCACGAACCCCCTCGCTGGACTCGAACCTAGAGCCTTCGGTTTCGCGCGCAAACGCTTAATCTCCACAACCCATACTGATAAATATTTAAATAATGTAAGAAAATATTAAAAATATTATTGATCTGGACATTCAAATTATAATGCATCACCATTTTTACAACAATAAAACATGATTATGACAATAATAACAAACGGTAAACCATGTAAAAATACGTATAAAGTCTGTTAGACAAACTTCATAATTTCATTTGTTAATTACTTTCAATAATCATTAGTGTGTATATCAGTCTAATTTGAAAATTTAATAATGACTTAACAATAAGTATCTTGATCTATCATGATCTCATTTAGTGTGATGAAACAAATCATGAATAAGATGTTTCAGTGGTTTTTAAAAAGGGAGATATTTCAATGAAGAAAAAACAATGGATCTGGGCTTTACAGTCGCGTCAGTGGTAAGTGCACAACCTTTTCAAGGTAACAAACGATTATCAAAATACAGTTAAGAATTAATTTTGAGCATTAGTATTGTAAGTTAGCGTAAAGTTTTTTGGACATCAGTTGAAACACCAGTATACTCAAATGTATATCCCAAGTCCAAGTCTGTGTGTAATAAGCTCCCCTAACTTCTATTTGACTTAATAGGATAAGATCTGAAAATCATTCCATAGTGTGGTTCAGCTTTATGTAAGGAAACGTGACAGATGACATTTAGCAATTCATAAATGACTTTAGCAAGATAAAGTTATTTTTTTAGCGGATCAAGATGTGGAGGATTTTTCACGTAAAACTCCAAATCGATTAAAGTTAAAATGTAAAGTTGAGATCAGATTATGTAGTTGGGCTTAGAGTGAGAGAATTGACGAATAGTTATAAAGATAAAACATTGATATCAAAGATCAAGAAAATGATCAATTATTTAGAAAAATCCATAAAAACATCTCAAACTTTAATGAGAAATTTTAGTTCCAGTTATTTTTGATGGAGTTTTGTTCTCTGAGCTCAGAGAACAAAACCCTATCGAAATTATCCACCTGAGCTACAAATCTTCTCCACCATCTCGATTCGAGTTGTTTTCTAACATTTTTCGCAGTTAATAAATTAGTTCCATCATATCTCTTCATTAGTTGCAATAGTTCATTTATGTTTTCTTGATATTGTCAAGTTTATCAATTTTAATCTTTTCAGGAGCATAATATTCCTATGTATTATTCATTTTTTTACTCAGATGTTAATAAAATACAATTTGCTTGCCAGTAAAATACACTTTTGTTCTTATTTCATAAGCATAGTCTAATTCCATCATTATCCAACTCTATTTATGATGCTTGTTACTCAACGGAAATACTGAGACAGTAGGTATAGAATGTACATATTCTAAAAGAAACTGATCAACTTTATTCTTAAACATCAATGGAAAGATTCAAACAACTTATACAAATGATACGTCATCTTTAACTTTCAACTAACGGTTAAAACACTTATATACCAAAGAAAAATTAATTTTATGACTAAATGACCAAGAAAAGCATCACTAGCATCGACATACAATTACAGGAATGATTTTTATGTAAGAGGTGAATTGTGATTAATAGTGGAGTACAGAAGAAATTAGGAAAAAACGATGGAAATGGATAGGACATACATTACGTAAATCATCAAACTACATCACGAGGCGAGCTCGACCTTGGGATCCTGAAGGGAAGAGGAAAAGAGGAAGGTCAAAGAACACATAACGTCGGGAAATAAAAGCAGATATGAAAAGGACGAATAACAACTGGAAAGAGCTGGAAAGGATTGCCCAGGACAGGGTTGGATGGAGAATGCTGGTGAGCGGCCTATGCTCCTTCACGAAGAGTACTAGGCATAAGTAAGTAAGTAAGTGGAATCTAGTATTCTACCTTATTTAGGACAAGTCAGTTTGATGTATTTGGATTCTGAAGTTGATAAACACCTACGAGAATCGAACACGGAGCCTTTCTCATCAAACTTATAAAAAATACTAGATCCCACTACTGAGTTATAAAGCATCTCTCTAATAAAACTTGTGAAAAATGACTATGTTGAAATAATCCTTATAGGATATACTTATGTTAACTGAAACTAATCAAAATTCAGTTAAAGAATATCAATAACACGATATATCAAAAACCTTTATTAATTAAATATAACATTGTTATAATAACTATAGTAGTATTTATATGGAATGAATCAGTTGTAGTTAACATTGGAATACAGAATAAGTGTTTTGCCTTATTTAGAACATGTCAATTGGACATAAATGGCACAATTCTATGCTGATTTTCATAATAAGGAATTAAACAAAGTACTGTTTAACAGATTGAAATCATGAGTCAATTGAAGTTAGATGCGCACTGCTGAGGAGTCCCACAATAGGACGAAACTGCTGTCCAGTGCCTTCAGGTTTTCCATGGTGGTCTAGCTTAAATTGACTCATGATTTCAAACTGTTAAATTTTTGAAATCTGCACAAACTCCTTCTAATAATCATCATCTCCCCACTAGTAACTGACTTCAAGAGATACTCCTGGAGTTCTAGTGAGAAGACGTTACCAGTGGAGATCAACCAGGTCTGTTGTGAGATATCAGCTCATCGGAGACAATAGTATACAGTGGCGTAATTTCGTGGATTGGTTGAAGTTAGACATTAACACCATTGGATGCCAGCTCAATTGTCTAGTTGGTTAAGTGCCTGGTGCGAGACCGATAGGTCCTGGGTTTGAATCTCGCGGGGTGCAGGATCGTGAATGCGCACTGCTGAGGAGTTACATACTAGGATGAAACGGCCGTCCAGTGCTTCCAGGTTTTCTATGGTAGTCTAGCTTCAATCGACTCATGATTTCAATCAGTGAAATTTCTAAAATCTCCACAAACCCCTTCTGAAAATACTATTCACTTCAAATTTTCAACGAGTCATCCACCAAGCTATTGATTTTCAATAAACATGAACAAATGTGATGTTTCTTGATCATTATCAATGACAGTGCTAATTATTAAGTTATTATTCAGGACCGCTTTTCGTTCAATTTATCTCTATTGGCATATGGTACATTAATTACACATTGATAAACGGTAATAAGCATAGAAATTCTTATTTATTTCTTGCATAAAATCTTATCGACAAGTGCTTTTTTCCAGATCGTAATAATTTCATGTTACTGTTATCATGATCATTAGTAGTAGTAGTAGTAGTAGTAGTAGTATGGTGTATGCTATTTTTGTTGACAGACATAAATAGTATGTAATACCAATTAGAATTCGAATTCTTGAAAACAGAATATTGACAAGATTGGATTGAAG